TTCCTATAAATTTATTCGTCTACCGATTTACCGTGCTAGTCAGCAGCATATGGTTCGTTTTTTGTGTAACTTAAAAAACCTGTAATTATCCTTTAAGTAAAGTTTCGTAAATCAGACATGTCCTTCCATCAAGATGATTATATGGTAAATTGGTTGATAAGACCAAATTCGAATTTTGGAACATGTTTAGATTGTGGAAAAGAAAAAAGCGACGTAGGATGGTGTAAACATTGTGAAATTAGTGCCTTTAAAGGAAATTTTAGAAAATGGAACCTTGACATTGATAATTTAATTCAATACACACAACTAAATGCGACGTGGATTATAGATTTTTTAGAATATATTGATTTTGTACAATTAGAATTAGTAGAAATAGCAAATAGAAATGAGGCCACTGGCGAAATTTACTCAGCAATTTGGATAGAAGGTCCCCGAAGGCTTTGGGATAATGACGCTGAAAATTGGTCACGAAATGGTCCTACAAAAGTTGCTCGAAAAAGAATGAAGATTACTTAAAGCAAGTAAGTTATGTCTTAACTTTTATTCGAAATTATTTATTTAAATATTTGTCTTTTAGAGATAATAACGAAAATTTAATTAATTTTAAATGAAGCTTTATAAACATCACCAATGCGAGAACGTTGCAAACATTTATGGAGTGACTAAAGATTATAATTCAAATTACATGCTCGTTATGAAGTAATATGAATATTATGAAAATCTGGATTTATATTCATATATTGATGAAACTCAAGGAAACCATTATTGGAAAGGCACCATTGTAATGCTTTGGCAGATATTGGGAAGAATAATCGTCTTTCATGAAAAGGGATTAATTCATGGAAATCTTCACGGAGGCGAAATCTTGGTTGAAGTTGAAAATGGTTCAGTTGAAAACGTTTTTATCCCAGATATTGAACCATATTTTTCTGATACGAGAAATTCAAATTAGATATATGGAGTTCTTCCTTTTATCGCTCCTGAAATCTTACACGGAAATTCACCAACAAAGGCCTCAGATATTTTTAGTTTTGGTCTTATTATGTGGACACTTTCTGCAGGTGTTCGTCCATGGTGCAATAGACCACATGATCTTGAATTAGCTACTGAAATTTCTTCTGGTCTTCGTCCTGAAATCATTGACGAAACTCCAGATTTTTACGCTCAGTTAATGACGAAAAGTTGGCATCCAGATCCTTCAAGTCGTCCAACAGCATCTGAATTGTATCAATTATTAGGTGATTGGATAAATGTTATTGATAATTCAAATTAACCGAAAAATCTGTTACCATGAAAGAGAAAAAAATTTCGGGTTCAGAAAATAAATTTCGTCGCGAAAGAAATCATCCCGAAGCTGTTTATACAGGCAAGTCCTTGTATTTTCCTGAATTAATTACACAAAATCTATTATTGACAACAAAATATTAAGTCGGCGACGACTATCTGAACAACAAATATAAATTGGCGTCGATATTTTAAATTTTAAATTTAAATCTGTATATTCTAGCTGATTTAATTACGTATTGTTTATTAAGAAATATGAAACTAAGTCACAATCTACTATAAGCTGATTTAACAATACAGAGAAATTTCTTCTTCGTCGGTAAGAAATCTTGCACAAGTAATCTATAAGTAAAATATTTAAGTTGCTAGTACAATCCTATTATTATGTTTTATTATTAATATTAAGCGTTTGGCGGTATATACATTTTTTTTCTTTGATGTGGTATTTAGAAATATTTAGAATGTTTGTTTGTTTTCCATTTAATTTGCTACTTTCCCACACTGTTTTAAATTGGTTATACATTTGTGAGAATGAAATTTTTCTATGAGATGAACTTTATATTTTGGAATTAATTATAAATAAATTCATCAATACAAATTAAGCAATCAATCAAGTTTTTATGCACAATAGGCTAAAGAAGAAATACTAAAAAATAAATTTATGAAACATTACTCGTTAAAATGCGTTTTAAGCAAGGAATTAATAAAGAAAATGCTTGGGAGTACGAGTTAAAATATTCGATAAAGTTTTTCTCATCAACCTGTTATTGTAAAATATTTATGCAACTAAATTTGTGATCCGGTGCAAATACAATAATTTGGTTGAGCAACCTCTTCTTTTGAAATAACTTCTCGTTTCTTGCAATGTGGGATCAAATGCGAAAGTTTTAAGAATGTCTTTACGAAATTTTCTTTATTACAACTAAGATTTTTAAATTTTTTAATAACATACCATTTAAACAAACAATTGTAGTCAACGGAGATTTCGAAAATCATGTGATTAAGTGACGTCATAGGTTCAAAGATACTGTATATGACCGCTTTGTCTTCTTTGTACCGTATTGCACATCTATAAATTTGATTGACATCGTGATGGTATTCTCCCAGAATCTAGCTGCGTATTAAGCCGACATAACTTGTTATTATTTTTTGTAGAATACTTACTTAATAGATTAATGATGTGATGATATTTGTGATGAAACGGAGGTATGTTTGAAAATTTAGTAGATTTTTTAGTATTAAGTAGGTAAAACGATTAAATGTAAAACTTATGTGTTATATAGTGTCCAAGGATCGAATACCCTTTGAAAATTAGGGAAATATGATTGCATCACGAAAACCTGGATCGACTGATGTTCAGGGATACACTTAACATATTGACCGTCAGTATTACGATAAATTTCGATAAAAAATTATATTATGAACCATTATCCATACCATATCATCAACCGCACGCGTACAATAGAATCGAATTTTTGAATCCATGGAAATTAAGGAGATTCATTATTACTTCATCGAGATCCAGTCAGTTGATATCCTGAATTTCCTATATAGAAAATGATAATAATCACAGAAATTATTAAACCTCTTGCAATTACCTTTTGTTAGAAATGACCCATCATTAACTGATAGGCAAATTCGATTATCGGCAAATGTCTGGCACAACTCAATCCCACAGTGCATCATACGATGGAAGTTTCGAAAAAAAAAATACATTGTACAGTGTATTGACAACAGTGATGGAGCATTTGATCGGACAAATTTAAAACTTTTTATGGAATGTTATAGATAAATACTTAAGATGATAAACACGCAAGAAACGTGTTTCAATATGAAAACAATCGTGATGTTACTCTTCCAATTGAGTTTGGATGGTGGATTTGAAGAAGGTAAAGATGTTAATTCACCCTGATTGAATAAAGGTAACTGAATTTCCCAATTTAATAAAATGTAAAATTTCTATGTTGATATCATTCGATACGATGAAGCAAATAAATAAGTTTCACATGATTTAAGGTCACATAACGTATTAGTCAATCGGAATAATTTATTATTTTCTTGAATTCATTACTTATTTATTATACAATTGCATGGATTCATTATCTAAATTTTACGCTGTCCACACTATCGTTGCGGGACAAAACCATAAACCCATTTTGGCAAAAGTCGAACCTTTTCAGAAATTATTTCGGCAGTTTCGATAACACTTTGCGAATTTGACGGTTTATTGTAGCACAATGTAGAATATAAATTAGAACTAAGTTTCCAAAATAATACATTATTTATCGAGCAGGTTTTAAATTATATTTAATTTTAAAAATCAGATTCGGATTTAAATCCTTCTCTATTTGCATATCAAATAAATTTTTTTTTAGCTTAATAAATTATACATTTCATATACCCGATGCGGATATCTGGGTTTAAATCCGACTCTAGACGATGATTTTTCAAATGAAAGTTTAATGGATGAATAAGATAAGAATATTGTCATGAGTTTAAATGAAGAACATATGGGAGATAAATGATGTAACTGGACTTGATCAATATATAAAATTTTTTGATTTTTTTTTTATTCTTTATAAATATATAAATATATGATATTATAAAAGAAAGTGATCTTAGCTATATATGATTTGCTCATCTCGTTAGACAAAAATAATAAATTTTAAATTCAAAACTGTTTTTAATATCAGAAGGTTTCGATGTGTTTAGTCATTCGTAGAAAATTTTGCCACCCGGCAACCTTAGTCCACACTTGGATAAAAAATAACCCCGAATATGTGCAAAATTATGCAAATTAAATGATTAATGAAAGTTTTGCATTTTATTCACAAACACACTTATGTTGATCATTGCCTTCGAAATAAAACGTCCCGATTTAATTTCACACATTGGTTAAAATCACTAGTTTATTGCGGACGAAAAAAACTTCATTAATTCGATGAGTCCATAAAAAAAATATGCCCAACTACGAGACCGTGACCCTTGAATCACGCCTGCGCTATTTCGTCACATGTTCAAAGAAAATTTTTTTTAGTCCGTTTCGACATATAATACTTTAGATTTTTACATGACAAATTTCAGGAGTGCGTCCTTGGAACGCGCGCTTTTGCCAAAAAAAAAAATTATTAATACATGCGAAAAATAAATACAATGATCGATACATAATGATTTTATGCTAATAATATATGGAACTTTCACTATGCTAACTATTATATGGCGGTGTGGAAACCGTGAGGTTTGGATGGACATTTTGAGGCGGATTTGAAATTGCTAGTTCCAATGCTTGCGCATGCAAATTTTTATTTATCACTTTTACCTATTGTCGGGATTTCCGCATGATAATTTACGCGATCATATAACACACTAAAGCTGTGACATAAAATTTTGGGAAAGCTTTGTCACGCATTTAAATTTCATTTAGCAGTGTCCATATATCCGCATGTAACATACAATTGGATAAAAATCACTACCCTGAAATGTGGGCGTAACTTTATTTGAAAATTTTTATTCAGGGTGTTCTGATGTTACTCAGTCTACATAATTGATGAAATTTTCAACGATATATTTAAAGTTAGTTCGAAGAAATTAAGAAATTATTAGTGGAGATACTTAAATATCCAATAAATATGTTTTCACCTTCTAGAAGATACTTACTTTTATGCGCGAAATCTAGCAATCGTGCAAATTCATCGTCTTGTTTAAGCTGAAGTTCTTTAATTAGTTTTTTTTGAGTAATCCAAAAGTTCTTCAGTAGTCTTATAAGTCTAAACAATAGATAGATAATATGACAAAGTAACTTAGGAAACAGCAAAAAAATAATATAAATAAAATAATACATCAAAAATTTTTTTAATAGCCTTTTCAGTAGCTTTCTCCAATGAGGTAGATAATTTGTCACTTTCGAGTTTTTGTAAAAGTGGCATGATGGCATTTAAGCTGGCGCCATTCTGTTGGATGATTAAATTCATTGTCTCCATATAGGAGAGAAGAAGTTCTTTCCCAGTTTGTAATTTTGTTAGTTTCATTAGTGTTATCAATTCAGCAATCTTATGTTGATGTTCCGTATCAGCTTTCCGAATTTGTAATTCATAATTAATCTGCAATTCCCGACTACGGAGTTCAGTTTCCCGTTTATGAGCTTCATATGCGATATTCATTCTATGTCTTTCCTCTTCTAAAGCATTACTTGATGAATTATTGTCCATCTTGAAATATCTGCTTAAAATAATGCGGTCCAACTTGTATTTATAAAAGAGTAACAATAGGTACCATACTAATAGGTTTTGCAATAACAAAAACATAATCACATGTCTACAAAAATGTAAATGATTAAATTGTTCGTTATGTACTGTATTTATAAACAATTTTGTAATGTAAACAGAAGGTTTTATTGATTGATTATTGAGTAAAAATGAAGTAATCTTGACGATAAATTTATTAATAACATCAAATTAAATCAGTGTTGCTTCAACTTCGGCGTTCTACACTTTCGCAATGTCAATATATTAAACTCAATAAATGCAATTACAAAAAAATTGAATAATAAGAAAATCGGAAATTAAAAAAAAAAAATAACGAAGTTACAAATACGAAATTTAAAATGTTAAAACGGCAAAAGCAAAGGGGTTAAAGGGAGGTTTTCGAGATGTACTGTATATATGCAAAATATAATAAGGGCGAGCGTGGAATGTTACAGTAAGTTGTTTAAGGATTTCCGGCTTGTATTTATAAAAAAAAAAAATAGGCTAGCCTAGGCTGTTAAATGATCAATGGAAAAATCGAAAGCGATTTACATGCGACATTATGGAGTTTTCGGGCGAAATTATATTGAATGTAGACCGACACAAAAAATTCTTGATTACTATTATAATATAAAAAACTAAAAATAAAATTAAAAAACATTAAAATTCGAAAAAAATAAAATATAAAATTGAATTTGAATTTTTGTCCGAAAAAAAATTCCAGTATAAAATCAAAATTAAGCACCCTTACTAATTTTATCCATCACGTGATTGCAAAAGGGTGCTTAAATTTGAGATTTTACGGTATATAAATGCACTCTTTCTTTAAATGCATCCTTATACCTAGTCTCAAGGGAAGTACATTTATAAAGAGTTGACTGTACCAATGTTCTGTAGCTTTGAAATTTATAATAAAATTTATGTCATTTGAGGTTTTAAGTCATTATATGGTCATTTCAAGGTCATTTGCCAACACAGGTTAAAAGCTTGACAAATACATCGTATGATGCGCGTCACATGACAGAGTGAATAATATTATCTTACCCAGTATCGCCATAAAATTTTTCACCACGTGACCATATATAATTTATCACCCCTTGTCACACCCCTCGCTTTTCCATTTTCATAAGTATTCCGGGACTGAAATTTTTTTTGTGATGAAAAATATTTTTTTCACGCCCATTATAATTGGCGATACTGGGGTAAATAATAATGAGCATCCTTAACCTAAGGTAAGGGTTTAGATCCTTATCCTAAACCGGTGTACTATAAGCTGTATATGACGTATTATTTGTAAAATCATATCGCTAATCAAAAGTTTACTTCAAACAAATAAATTTTATATTTTATTAGGATTATATGTGCTTAATAAAATATTTTTTTTTGTGGTTTTATACAATAAACATTATATTTGTTAATATGTCCGAAGGCATTTCAGAAAATACCTCAGTTCCTGAACTGAAAATATCATTGTTTTTGATAACACATAAAGTTATCTGATTCAATATGCCATTTGGGATCTTTACTGATGTGAATAATTTTGGCTAAAGCATATGCTTTGCTGATGCCTTAATGTGCTAAGAAATGATTGATAGTTTTGTATAGACATTTAAATCATTTCTTAAGATCGTTAATAATCACTCACCAAAAGCAATCCTTACCAATAAAGTCAAAGCAATTTCTAATGCTATACAAATTACATTTGACCATAATACTAAACATGTATTATATATATAGCATTTATAGAAGAATGTTATTAAAAACCTAAATAATATATTAGGAGAAAATTGGAATAATTTACAAAAGTTTTTTATAAATACATAAAAGAATATAATATTGGAAAATTTATAGTTAAATAGGAAATGCTTAAATAAATTTCTGAATGCTAAAGCACACTTAGATAGAATGGATAAAGTCAAAGAAAAATGGGTACCTTGTTTTAATAGAGATACATTCTTAGCAGATATAACAAGTATACAACATGAAGAATCTATGAATAATCTTATTCACTTTAGACTTTTTTAAAGCCTTTGAATCTGTATTAGAGCAGTGTGATACTGATTTGCAATTATCTAAATATAGGCAAAGTCAATTTAATGTTATTTAAATACAAGGAGTCCATTTGAATATTAAGCAGCAGCAATACTAACAAATTATATGCTAAAATTAATACAAGAACAATTGTTACAAGCTTCTGATTATTCTTGTATTAAATTATATAATTTGAAAACTAAAACACTTCAATTTTTCATGTTTATCAATTTAATCATAAATATAAATCAGGAAGAAATATCCAATATGATCAATAACAGCAATTATTTTCATATTTGTGTAAATATATAACTGTTTCCGGAATTATTGTAGGCATATACACTGGTAAAATCAAAAAAATCGGACATGCAAAAATCAGCCTAAAATCAGCCTAAATTTGGCAAATTATCAAAAAACCAGCTAACCGATTGGCATACATCAGAAATCAGCCAAGAATCAACCAAAATTCAAATTATTTTATTTATAGCTGATTGGCATACTTATAGCCGATTGGTATATATTAAAATTTAACCAATCTTATTTATAACCGATTAGAACAATTGTATTATTTCTTAGGTATAATGGTATTATCATTCCTTAGAAATGATGGTATTATCATTCATTAGATATGATAGTATTATCATATCTAAGGAATAATGCATTTATTATACCTTAGGTATGACGATTTTATCATTCTTAAGAAATGATAGTATTATTATTCCTTAAGTAAGATGGTTTTATCATACCTAAGAAATGATGGTATTATAGTATCTAAGGAATAATGCATTTATCATTTCTAAAGAATGATTATTTTATCGTTCCTTAAGGATAATTGTTTTATTGTTTCTTAGGGATGATTGTTTTATTGTTCCTTAAGGATGATAGTTTTATTATTCTTTAGAGATAATTGTTTTATTATTCCTTAGAGACAATTGTCTTATCGATTCTTAGGGATGATTGTTTTATTGTTCCTTAGGGATGATAGTTTTATCATTCCTCAAAGACAATAGTTTATCATTTCTTAGGTACGATTATTTATCATTCCTTAAGGATAATAGTTTTATCATTTCTTAAAGACAATCTTATTATTGTACCTAAGGAACAATAGTTTTAACATTCCTTAAAAATGATTGTTTTATTGTTTCTTAGAAACGATAGTATTATCATACCTAAGAAATAATAGTTTATTATTCCTAAGGTATAATGATTTTATCATTCCTAAGATATGATGGTTTTATCATTCCTTAAAGACAATTTTTTTATTGTATTTAAGAAATGATAGTTTTATTATTCTTAAGGAATGATACATTTATCATTCCTTAAATATGATGATTTTATTGTTCTTTAAAGACAATGGAATTATTATATCTAAGAAATAATGATTTTATAATTTCTAAGAAATGATGTATTTATCATTACTAAAAAATAATGATTTTATTGTATCTAAAGAATGATAGTTTTATTATACCTAAGGAACAATAGTTTTATTATTTCTTAAATATGATAATTTTATCATTTCTAAGAAATGATATTATCATTCCTTAGGGATTATTGTTTTATTATACCTAAGGAATGATAGTTTTATCATTCTTTAGAAATGATAGTATTATCATACTTAAGGAATGATAGTTTTATCATTCCTAAGAAATGATTATTTTATTATATCTAAGAAATGATTGTTTTATCGTATCTAAGGAATGATGGTATAATTGTACCTTAAGTGTGATGATTTTATCATTCCTAAGGTATAATTATTTATCATACCTAAGGAATGATAATATTATCATTCCTTAGAGACGATAGTTTTATCGTTCCAATGAATTGAACTTTTGGATTAAACTAATTTGCTAAAATAATATGAATTTAATGTACTATTTAAGTTTATTTCTGTTATATAGGAATATTTATATAAATAAACTTAATTTTTTAACTTTCTAAAAAATAATTTTAATCATTTTCAAATTTCTCTTTTTACATTCTACCATCAATGCTGAAAAAAATTCATCTCAAGAACAAAAAAACCTTAAGTTGAATTTAGTTAATTTTTCTGATTTTTTTACTTTTTATAATAAAAATATACCTCTAACTATTAAATCAAATGAAAATTAAGTTGAATTTTAATCAATTTTTCTGATTTTTTTTTTTTTTACTTTTTATAATAGAAATATGCCTCTAACTATCAAAATCAGATAAAACTTAAGTTGAATAATAGTCAAT